CAGCTGCAGCACACTGCTGGCTCATATTTAGGTGATTGTCCACTAGGACTCCGAGGTCCCTCTCACAGTTACTACTATTGAGCAAGGTGCCACCTATGCTGTACTTGTGCATTTGGTTTTTCTTGCCTAAATGTAGAACCTTGCTTTTTTCACCATTGAATTTCATTTTGTTAGATAGTGCCCAGTGTTCAAGTCTGTCAAGATTCTTCTGTATCTTAAGCCTGTCTTCTGGAGTGTTGGCTATTCCTGCCAGCTTGGTGTCATCTGCAGATTTGATGAGTTCCCCATCTATCCCCTTGTCCAAATCGTTGATGAAGATGTTGAAGAGCACTGGACCCAGAACTGAGCCCTAGGGCACTCCACTACACACTTCCCTCCATGTAGATGCGGTTCCATTGACGACCACTCGCTGAGTGCGGCCGGTCAGCCAGCTACAGATCCATCTGGTGGTGATGCTTTCTACCCCACATTTTTCTATCTTATCAAGTAGTAGGTTGTGATCTACTTTATCAAATGCCTTATTGAAGTCCAAGTAAATTATGTCCACAGCATTCCTCTGATCCACTAATTTTGTCACTTGGTCAAAGAATGCAATAAAATTTGTCTGGCATGATCTATTTTTGACAAATCCATGTTGGCTTTTAGTAATGACTTTGTTTGCCTCTAGGTGTTCGTTGATTTGTTGTTTGATTATCTTTTCCAGGATCTTCCCAGGTATTGAGGTCAGGCTGATAGGTCTGTAATTTCCTAGGTCCATTTTTTTCCTTTTTTGAGGATGGGAACTACATCAGCTCTTTTCCAGTCCTCTGGTAGTTCTCCTGTGCTCCAGAATCTTTGAAAAATATAGTTCAGTGGTTCCAAGATCACATCTGCCAGTTCATTGAGAACCTTGGGGTGTAATCCATCTGGTCCTGATGATTTGAACTCGTCTAGGCTGGACAGGTGCTCACTTACCATTTTCTTGCCTATCTTAACTTGTGTTTCTATTCTGTTTTTTATGGCACTATTTTTGATAGGTTGGTCTGTTTTTTCCCTTTGTGTAAAGACAGATGCAAAAAACGAGTTAAATAGTTCTGCTTTCTCCCTGTTGTCACCTTCTTGCCACTTTCACCCACTAATGGACCAATGTTGCAGCATCTCCAGGGTCTTGTGATTTACATTCAGATGCTTGGCAACTGATTCATATTTATGACGGTCACAGTGTCCCAGGGTCATGTGAAGTGACCAAAACCTGCTGCAACCACCCAGCAGACGGGGGAATAAAAACCAAACACCCCCCCACCCCACCCCTGCTGCCAATACTCAACAGAAATGCTCACAACAATGAAAACCTCGGACAGGAGGAAGAGCGCTGCCGGGCAGGCAGGCATCTTGCTCGGCTGTGGCTTGGGGGGCACTTTTTTCAGTGCCATTGTAACTTCGACTACCTGTACTTTATCACTTTTTTCCTTTTTTGGGGGGGTCATCAAGTTTTTCACACCTTGCTAGGCGACTGGTGGTACTCGGATGTTGCCATATCCTAAAAGTGGTACAATGGGTGAAAAGGCTGAAAAGCCCTGCTCTAGGCCACTATGCTGCTCCAATGGGATGAAGTTGTTATACTAGATTTAAAATTCTGGATTGGAGATAATTGCTTCCTTTCCACCTTTGCATTGGCTTTCTACTGATATATTGGATAGACAAACTAATATTACATGTGGTCATGGTGTAATCCATTGATTAAAAGTAATTATCTTATTTGTGCATTTTACTATTCCCTGTTTCTTCCTTTTTTATTAACTTTTATACCAGTATTTAATTTTTGTATTGTTTTTATTTTTTGTATATTAAAGCAGTAAAAGTATAAAAATAGTGTACAAGTATTATGGATGCAAAATGTATGAATATTTCCAGCTTACAATATTAATTCACTGTTACAGTTAGAAGAGAAAAAAGATTAACAATCTCTGTTTTAATACTATACCTGCAATCCAGGTCTAATCTTAAATTTCCAGTTCCACTTCTCCTTTGCAGCTTTATGCCTCTGATTTTGTAAAACGTAAAGGTCTCTAAAAAAAGAGTCTATATCTTTCATTAAAAAATAGTTTGGGCAGATGCTCAATGGACTTGGGAGAATTGGGTCTGGATGTGTTTCATTGAAAGAAACAACCATGTACTTGCAAAGAGAAGAATCCATCTTCCAATCACTGCAGAAGAAGTGTAATGCAAGAGTGAACATACATTCAGAATCCTTCTGGTTTTCTATAATGCTATTACAGGTTGAATCACATGAAGCACTTGAGTGGGTTGGGCAAAGAAAAATGACTTTATCAGCAATTTCTTTCTGAGTAGCAAGCCATTGCACAGGTCCTATTTCAGCAATTCTCCGTTTTTGCCACAGGTCTATTATAACATTACTTTGACAGTATTCCTGTAGAAATTCAGCAAAACTTAGGACGGTATGCTGTAAACAGGCTTCTTGAGAATATACAATAAGAATTGTTATTGGTGTTTGTGCTGTTATAGGATGGAAATGAGCCAGATTACTTGTTGGACCTGTTTTAAAAAAAACAAACATCATGACACATACGAAAGGGTAGAACATGCAATGACACCATGGCACATATTTTGTCATTTGGCCATCATTGTAATTAGGAATGTATGTAATTAGGAATGAATAAACTGAGGAAAATTACAATCACATCAACTGTCTCAAAGAAAATACAATCATCATGGAAGCCTAAGCCCATTATACTTTTGTTATATATTCTCAACAAAGGCAACCTCCAAGACATCAGAATTATCATCCCCAAATTTGCAATAGCACGTGATCACCAAGCTCTACCATTTTGTACTTATCTACCTCAATGTTTAGAATAGATATTTCAAAATGAACAGTACATTCAAAAGCACTTTGTGTTTGAAAGAATAATGTTTATATTTTGTCCTTACAATTTTCTTGCTTATCTGAGATATGCAGTAATTTATCATCTTGTCTCATAGGAAGGAAGCCCTAGCAAAATATTATCAATATCAGTGTTTAGTAAGAAATTGTTTCAATAAATGTAATTTTCCAGGCACTACTATGAATAGACTAATCAGTACCACTTTATAATGGAAACAAACTAACCACCAAATTATCTTACATGTTTCCCATTTTCATGCACAAAACCCAATGATTCTAGAGTCACAACACCAACTGGACATTGAAAATAGATAAATTGGTAGAATATTTCTATTCTCTAGGACAGTGGTCCCCAAGTTGAGCTGCGTGTGCATGCTGGCCCATCACTCACAGGTGTGCACTGGCCTGCCACTTGTTTAAGTTGAGATGTGCTAACTGTGCGCCGGCCTGCAGCTCAATGTTTCAAATGTACCGCGGCCTGGTAGTGGGTCACGGCCCAGGAGTTGGGGACCCCTGCTCTAGGACATTCAGTCATTGACCTCATGCCTGTAATTATTTCACGTAAAACATTTCATTGTGGAAAAACTGCTAAACTAGAATTCACTGGCTTAACCATACAGTATTTCTCACAGATTAAAAATAAAGTTGTTATCATATGCCGCATCTTAACACTTTCCATAGCAGTTGCTTTCTGAGTAATTTTGACTGTCTGCATCTTTTCCGTTCAATGTTTGTTCTAATCTTTTAAAAAATTCTCTCCGTTCTTTCTCATCTGCCTACCTTCCAATCATAGATATATGCCATACTCAAAACTATTTGCATATACTTGTGTTTGAGATGCCACAGGGCTTGCTATTTTCCCAGTAAATGTTACACAATACATGTGTATTTTGAAATCCTGCAAAAATCTGATTTCAGAGTGAACACTTCTTTTTTCCCACTCCCCCTCATGACACAGAACATTTCAATGTTCTAAGTCTTCATTTGTGGACAAAAGGTAGAGGAGGGACTATAAGCAAAACAATATAGAATAAGGTAAGCTCTTACCATGCCTACTCTTGAAATAAAGCACAGCAGCAACTATGCACACTATCAGAAGTAAAGCGATGAATAGGCCAGCATATATTTTTCCCATATCTAAATGAGAAAGAAAATGAATGTGTAAGATTGCAAGATTCTTTTAAAAGTTTAAAATTAACTTAATAAAAAATGAGCAATTGCCATTTCTAATTCTCAAATGATTGTAAAATGCATTTTCATGTATACAAGTGGTGATACAGCACAGATGGAGGTGAGACATTAGAGCTTAAATGAGGAGAAGTGGGAAATGGAAATGATTGTGGGTGGTTCAGTCTCTAAATTCACAAAGACTAGCAAAGCAATCTTCTGACCATAGTCTAAATTAGGAATTATCAACTTGAAGCTTCCCAGTCCATTTTGTTGCCTTTGGACATCTAACCATGATTGCTGAAACCTGCCAATTGGTAGACATTTTGAGAGGCTAAATAGGTAAATACCATAGTGAAACTTGTGTTTCTTAATGACGATATTCCTTAAAATAGGAATATCACCATTAAGAAACACAAGTCAAAACTTTCTGCTAAGAACTGAGCCCACCTTTTGTTTGATACATCTACCCTCTATGTTGTAATTCTCAACCTCCCCATAATGTTAATATTGACTCTGGCCACAAATACGTTGCTCATCCTACCACCATTACAATCACTCACACAAAAGGTATAAAAGGAAAAAAGGCCCACCAATAACTAAAATGGTAGCCAGCCACAATGTAGAACTAATGGCTAAATGGAGTTTCCATATTCAGAGTCACTGTATCTGGTTATCATATGCTCAGAGACACACAAAGGAAGTCTTTCTTTGGCAACCAAAGCCTGCCTGTGTCAGAATGAGGACCGTGAAGAAGACTTTATGATATTTCCAGGACTTATTGCTTTTAGAATGCATAGAGCCAAATATGGGTTTAAGCTTCCATTGCTCACTTCCCAAAATGAAACTCCATGCACTCACACATCCACACACCTTTGCCAATAAGTAAAGCTCATCCTGGGAATCTTCTCTATGTTTATTGGGGTCTGTAACATCCGGAACAGCAATTTTCCTTCTCAGGACAGTTTTGCAATCTGCGTTACTAAGGCAGACCAATAGTTTTTCCCTTGGGGATTTCTTTCCATGGTCTGATCTTAGCCTATTTCTTAGAAGCTGGTCATTAATTGCTATATAGTATGTTCACTTAACAAATCATTTTAACTGCTGTCTCTATGTCATAATCAAGATAAGGGATTTCAGGTCTCTCTTCCGCCCCAACATGTAACTGCATCCTCTCTTCAAAGACTATTCATTCTTCATTCTCTTTATCTCATTACACAACGATGATAAGTGGTCTGGAGGCCAAACCTATGATGTATGTTTAGCCTAACGAAGAAAAGGATTAGGAGTGACACGATAGTTGAGTGGCTGTCATAGAAAAGAGGGGGTTGATCTATTCTCCAAAGCACCTGAGCACAGGACAAGAAGCAATGGGTGGAAGCTCATTAAAGAGAGGTCCAAACTGGAACTAAGGTGAAATTTCTTGACAGTAACAACAATTAACTAATGAAACAACTTGCTTCCCGGAGTTATGAGTACTCCATCCCTGGAGATTTTCAAGAAAAAATTGGACAGCAGTTGTCTGGGATAGTATAAAGTCTTGGGCAAGTGGTTGGACTAGAAGACCTCCAAGGCTCCTTGCAGCCCGGTGATTCTGTGATCATCATATTATTACCCCTCATTCACAATGTTCTAGAAATAAATTTCTCTTGATATAAACCCCACTCTCGTCATTTTTTCTCTTTTTCTGACATGAAACTGATAAAATACTGAGTAGCCAAAGATTATCATGGTGTGGTTTAAAGGTTATCATGGTGTGGTTTAAATTTAATGATACAGAACAAAATAACTAAATAAGCAATTTAGAGACCATTCTGGGGAGCATATAGAAAGGTGAATTTTCCTGCTATCATCTTCTTGTAGCTTAGTATATGATTCCCATAAACTTTTATAACTTCCAATAGAAGTATTCCTCAACTTATAGCCAGAATTGGGACCAGAACTTCTGTCGCTAAGCAATGCAGTCATGAGTTGTATCTGATTTCATGACCTCTCTTGCCATGGTCATTAAACAAATTTGACTTCCCTTATAGACTTTGCTTGTTGGAAGCCCTCTGGAAAAGTTGCAAGTGGCAATCATGTGACTCTGGGACCCTGAAACTGTTATACCGTGTTTCCCCAAAAATAAGACTCAACCAGAAAATATCCCTAACGTGATTTTTCAGGGCGCTCGTAATATAAGCCCCACCCCAAAAATAAGCCCCAGACAGACGCATTTAGTACCGTATTTCCCAAAATATAAGCCCTAACTGGAAAATAAGACCTAATGCATCTTTTGAAGCAAAAATTAATATAAGACCCAGTCTTATTTTTGAGAAAACATGGTGAATATTTGGGCACTGGTTCCAACTATCCAAATTTTGACTACGTGACCACAGGGATGCTGCTATGGTCGTAAGAGTGAGGACTGGTCATAAGTCACTTTTTTCAGTGCTGTTGAAACTTTGAAAAATCATTAAATGAATGGCTGTAAATCAAGACCTGTAAGACTCAATTATTCCATTGAACCTTGACCATTCTCACCTTGACACTTTTCTAATAAACCCTGGCATTTTTCTATCAGAATGTTACTGTCTCATAGAAATAATCTTTTATTAAAAGAACTGTCTTCGTGATGTGCGTTTCTCAATATGTTCCTTCTGGTACTTTTTCACATGCTGTATATGTTGAAATCTGCCTGAAAAATTCTTCCTGTTTCTATAACTTCTTTTGAAGGCCACTTATGCAAATACATAGGATAAAGTTATTCATTATCACTACATTATACAATGATTGGCTTTATATACTAATGCTGAAATTGAACAGAACATTATCCAATACCTGGTCTGTCTGTAGCTTTTGGTTCTGTAGAAAAATGAGAAGTCATCAATTGCTTGAATTAACCATGTACAATTATATTTATAACCACAAACTATCTGCTATATTTTCAGCAACCCCCCCCCCCCACTAAACCTGAATGAATATGTTTTTGTTCATGGTTAACACATCAACACAATATTTGTCTCTCTCCCCATCTCCTAGTCAAAATCTGACCCAGGCAATATGGGGGCTGTCAATGAATTGCATACTATGGGTATTGGCTGCCTGCCTATTTCAAGAGAGTGCTTTGCTATCTTATCTCTTGCTTGCAAATATGTCAGGGACTCCTGACTGATAGGGGACTGGAGGCTAAATCATATAAAGAACGGTTTCTGGAATTAATTAGGTCAAGTTTAATGAAAAGAAGGACAAGGGTGACATGATAGCAGTGTTCCAATATCTAAGGAATTGCCAAAGAGGGAGTCAAGCTATTCTCCAAAGTACTTGAAGGCAAACAAGAAGCAACAGATGAAAACTATTCAAGGAGAAAACCAGCCTAGAACTAAGGAGAAATTTCCTGACAGTTAGAACGATTAATCAGTGGAACAACCTGCCTCCAGACGTTGTGAATGCTCTAACACTGGAAGTTTTTAAGATGAGATTGGACAACCATTTGTCTGAAATGGTATAAGATTTCCTGACTGAGCAGGGGGTTGGACTAGAAGACCTCCAAGGCTCCTTGCAGCCTGGTGATTCTATGATCATCATATTATTACCATTTTTCACAGTTATTATTTGAATTTATCTTCTTCATTCACAATGTTCCAGAAATAATTTTATCTTGATATAAACCCTACTTTAATCATTTTTTCTCTTTTTCTGACATGAAACTGATAAAATACTGAGTAGTCAAAGATAAAGGTTATCATGATGTGGTTTAAATTGAATGATACAGAACAAAATAACTAAATAAGCAATTTAGAGACCATTCTGGAAAATATATAGAAAGGTGAATTGACTTTTCCTGACTGAGCAGGGGGTTGGACTAGAAGACCTCTAAGGTCCCTTCCAACTCTGTTATTCTGTATTCTCTATTACTTATCCACCAAGATTATTATTTTATCTCCTCCTCCTCTAAAATTGCTCAAAGCAACTAAAGTAGTACCTTTCCTTATCTCTAAGTTTTTTTTATTCTCACAATCCTGTAAAAAAAATACTCTATAACTTAAGAGTCAGTCTGAAGCTGCTTGAATGAACTTTATAATCTCACTGGCTAATCTTAAGCTTACACTAAAAAAATTACCTTAGCATATAAAGCTTAATATTTCCATCCATAGAGAAACATTTAAAAGTCTCAACTAACCAGGGATAGGTTCTTCAGTGCAAACTGTTTGATAATATGAGTATCTTTTGCAATCATTTTGACATCCTGGAAAATAAGGAATTAGCTGGAAGAAGAGAAACAAAATAATAACACTAGAATTATTATTAAATACAGTGCTCCAGTATTGTTTTTATACTTAATTTTGCATTGAAAATTCCTTAAAAACAGTGAATACGATGGTACGGTGAGAATACAATTGTAGAAAAGAGATCCATACTGCACTTTTCCAGTTTAAAAATAAAAAGGGCAGGTCCCATCAAAATTAAATCCATTATGGCTAGCTACACAATATATGCCATTAGCATAAATTGTTGGAGAAACATCTATAACAGTGGTAGCAAACCTATGGCACGCGTGCCAGAGGCGGCACTCAGAGCCCTCTCTGTGGGCACGTGCGCCATGCCCCGGAGATGGCAACCGTCCCTCTTCAACCAGCCGCTTGCTAACTCTCCGAGGTCCCACGTGGCCGGATGCATCCCAGCACGGCTGGTTTCCCTCTCCCCTGTCCTGTCCCTCCTGGCCTCGCATGCTCTCCTTTTCCCGGGCACGACCCACTGCATCTCCTCCTTAGCTGTCGGCTGGCCATCCAGCTCAGAGGCGGCTGGATGGGCTGCAGAGCCCTAGAGTGGGTTGAGGGGCTGGCAGGCTGTGGCTGCTGACACACACTGTTGGCCCCCATGCACTCGCTGGCCTCTGTGTACGGGGGACAATGGTATCAGGCAGTAGTTGCCCCGGCCCCTGCCTCGCCTTGCCCTGCAACAATGGCACCCCTACCCTGCCTCGCCTTGCCTCGCCTCACCCCACAGGATGAGCCTCCTGCCCACCGCCCCACCTGCCAGAGACCCCCTGGATCTCCCCCAACCCTGCCCGTCCCCCACAGGCATCCCTCCCTTGAGCAACATCGAGGTGACCACACCCACCTTGGCCACACCCACCCAGTCTGCCATGACCACCATAGCCACACCCACCCAGTGGGCCACGCCCACCTGGCACCCGGTGATAAATAAGTGGGTTTTGGGTTGCAGTTTGGGCACTCGGTCTCTAAAAGGTTCGCCATCACTGATCTATAAGATAGAATTACTAAATTTAGATCCACCTTTTTATAAGTTATAAGTTAGTTTTCTTTCTTCTAACTTAGCATCCCTGGGACAAGATGAGATGCATTTTGTCTCCTCAGACAGGACACTAGAGTATTTCAGAATCAGTAAACATGTTTTTATGGGTTTACAAAGCAGGTGAAGCACATATGGTAACTTTTAGTAACATCTTATGTGCAAGACATTGATAGAAGGAAATAGGGTATAATCAAGCAACAAGAAATGTGATTGATTATAACAAGTTTAAAATAGATTCTGTATACTGGGTCATACCTTTTAAAAGCCAAATTCCAACTTTCCATTAGTTCTAATTGCCTAACTTCCTCTTGAAATCTAACTACAGAAGTAAAGCTATACTAAAAGCTTGCTAATTAATAACTGCTATACTTAAAACTCTTGCTATGCTCAGGAGCCCTATGCTAAAAAAAGTAATATTCAAATTGCTTAAATTCTTCCACATTATCTTGTAAAAAAATCCACGATAAACATTACAAATTGCATTCAAGAACAGAGCCACTTTTAGAAACAGTTCCCATTTTTTACAAATATATATTAGGGTCATCACCTTTAAAAAACATTTATTAAGCTTCTTTTCCTGCAATATGATTACCCCTCCCAAAAAAGAAATGTCCATTAAACTATGACCTCTTACAGCAAGAGAGCACTGGCATGACTTTCTTGAATCACTACCCCCTCATACACATTGATGAGGCAGATAGCATCAGGTGTAACTTGTGTTTCAATGTTTGGGCCACAGATCAGAAACAGTAATAGAGTCCTTCTAATTTGACATTTTCCTTACAAACAAAAATAAAATCTTACCTCTTTAAATATTAAGTTTCTTTCTTGATCACTCATTCTTATTTTTTCAGAAACTCTAATATTGTTTCCCTATTCCAAGAAAAATTCCAGATAAATGTATTACAGAACTTTTCAAAATATTTAATTTTGTTTTTAAAAAAGAAATATGGCACTTTTTATTTTTTATCTGTTCAGCTTGTAACTGCACGATCTTTTTCAAAAGCTAATATTTACATTAATTTTGACTTTATCCAACTTGGTGTCATCTGTTATCAGTCCTAGTCATGTAATTTGACAATTAGTCATCGTACTCATTCCTAGTTTTATAGCTAAAGAATATATATATATATATATATATACCTTGGTATTAGGCACAACATGAAGAATTGAATTATCGCATTCATCAGAGTCACAAAGATGGATTTTATATTTGGAACAAAAGTTACTAGGTGTAAAATTCACTTCTAGTTCAAATTCCCTGTTACATATTGTTATATGTGGATTCCATAAACTCCCTGTGAAATTTAAAAAAAAATTAAAACATGACTGATGTTTTCATTGTTTTACTTTAAAGCACACATCGCTTTGCAGATCCTGGACACAAAAATGGAAATAATTATAGAAATGATTAATGAATGTCCTAAACAACTGGTCCTTTAAAACTGGCATTTTAAAAAATTACTTAACTCTTTTTCAACATATTTTTCTAAAGAGATTAATATAGCGTTTTCCTGCTCTCATAATATTTTTAGAAGTATTTATTTGTTTATTGTATTTACTGTGTGTTTCAAAAATCATACCGTGATTACTAAACAAGTGATTCCTTTATCTGAAGAATCATTTTGCTAGTAATTTCTAGGTAACTTTTAGGTGACAATTGTTGCGTGAAATGGTAAATCTGATATTTTCAGACTGGGCAACTGGGGAATAATCTGTTTCCTAGCACCAAAAGATAAGAAATTAACCTCAACTAAATTATGTAAGACAACCAGGATCTCTTACTTGTGTTTCCCTGAAAATAAGACCCGGTCTTTTTTTTTTCCTCCAAAAAAAGGTACCAGGTCTTATTTTCGGAGGGAGATGTCGTTTCCACTCACCTCTGGTACCAACAGCTCCATCCAGTCAGCCCACTTCTTCTGCAGCCGAGGGAGCAGCTTCATTTTGCAGCTGAGAATGGAGCTCTGGCCTCCATTTCGCAGTCAAAGGCCTTTCCAGAAGGGCACTGCAATCGAGAACTGAGCTATGGATTCAATCCGTAGCTCAGTTCTCAGCTGCAAAGGCCTTGCAGAACCGAGTTATGGATTAAATCCATAGCTTGGTTCTCGGCTGCAATGGACTTCCGGAAAGGCCTCTGACTGTGAAATGCAGGCTTGGGGAAACCGCAGAAGAAGTGGGCTGGCAAGGAGAGGCCTGGCTGCAAGGTAAGTAGGTGCGGGGCATGTGGGGCAGCTCCACACCCCCACCCCCGCCCTAGGTTAATTTTTAGGTGTGTGCCTCACCCCAAAACTAGGGTTTATTTTTGGGGTAGGGCTTATATTAAGCTCTACCCCAAAAAATCAAGCTAGGGCTTATTTTCAGGGTAGGTCTTACTTTCAGGAAAACAGGGTATTTAAGAGAAGGAAAATGTGAATAGAGAAAAACCCAACCTGGTGCCTGTCACATGTGTTAGGATGACAGCCCCAGATTTCCTTTTGTAACCTTCTCAGAGTCTTTTCAGCTGGGCATACTATAAAAATGTTAAATAGATACACAAACAAACAAATTCCTCAACCAGCATTAACCAGAGACTGTGTATTGGTAACTATCTGCACAGCAGCAAATAGGAGAAAAAAAGAGGGTGGTTTTTTTTAAAGTAAATTCTAGTTGAAACCTTACAAGGAGACAATTTTGTATGCTAACGCTACATCAGTCAGAAAAGAACGGAATTGAAAACCCATGACCATATCCCAGTGGGATGCACAATTTCCTTGGATAGATTTCAGTTCTAACAGGTTACAAAGCTATTCTACATAAATGCAAAAAATGCATTAAGGGCTATTAATTAAAATGGGCAGGAAAAGTAACATAACTAAATGTTCTTTTGTAGTTAACTAAAAATAGCTACTGTAGCATCTTCGTCCTTTTGGTACCACTGGATTCCCTGGCATTTTATTTATGTTATAGGTTATGGTCACCATTGCATTTAGTATCTTGAAATATGTTTAATAATAAATTTTAATGATCCTTAGTATAATGAATTAATTAAAACAACTGCTTACCTTTTTCTATACACTTTTGGCAATATTTCAAACTATTATCTTCACAGTCTGAATTTAAATAAGAGTAAATAAGCATTAGAAATTATGAACATTTATAATATCTGAATCAATTGATTCCAGTTATGAGAAAAAGCTTTTAAAATAAAGATTAGGAAAACTGCATGAAAGTATAAGCCATTGAAGAGAAATGAACACATTCTAAATCAATAGATTAGATATCATGCTTGTTCTATTTATCAAACAAAGCTCGCTGGACTCATTACTTTAAAGTATATGTGTAACACTTTTATATATTTATATATACATATCATCTTAAAATTACAGAAGCTATTTAAAGATGAAAATTTATAAATCAACACTATTTAATCAGTTACCTGGAGAAATTAGATTCATCTGTGTTTTTGAATGATCTTGATCTATATTTGGTGGTGGAAGGTTGTAAGCATCAATGAAGTACTTAGTATTTTCTTCTACAGAGAATCCAACAAAGTTGAATTGCCACTGTAATTAAATATATTTGAAGGTTATATAATTCTGGATATGAACTAAACCACTTCCTTTTTCTGAACCACATTCTTTCAGAAATATAAGCAAACCAGAAACGTACTCCTCACTTACTCCATTTTCCACTACTGATTGGATCTGGTACATTAATAAAATATTAAGATGACAATATCACCCAAAAATGTTTAATGGGATTTTCTAACTGCAGAATTATTGACCAAGGATAGAAAAATTAGGAATCAGTTGCTTCCAAAAATCACACATGATGCAGCTTGTTGGTCTAAATCTGGTTTATATCAGGCACTACCTTGCCAGAATTAAATCTGTTATTTGATCAAAACATCTTGGGAAGGCTTGTTAAAAGTATCCCCATCATAAAACTGAAACAGAATTCAAATGGAAAGTCATTTTTCAATTATAAATCCATACCTGAACCAGCTTGAACCACATCCAAAATTTGGATTTCTCTTAAAATAAAGCCATAGTATTCTAATTTTTAACACTGTCTTAAATAAAAATTTACCCTTCAGTGTTTAGATATAAATTATTGTGGTATAATTCTTTGAGATTTATTGTGCACTAATTATCATTGATATTTATATATTAATCGGATTTTAACAACGACCTGCAGTTTTAAAAATCAGTATAAGATATTATGTTATTTCATTTATGTAAAACTTATAAAATATTGAAAATTCTTATCTAACAAATGTCCTATCTTGCTCATAAATTCTCTATTTTCTGGGTTGTTTTTCTTTTTTGTCTTATTTTGTCTTTTTTTTCCTTCTTCCCTTTTCAAATATGTTTCATGAAAATGCAATAATAATCATCATCATCAATACCATCAAACAACAAAAACTGCCTATAGCAGGTCCTTTAGAAAGACTCAATAGGTGGATAAAAATGTCAAATCCAGTCTAAACATCTGGCTGACTGTGCAATCAACCATAATAATGTGTTATCTCCATCTGAAAAGAGGAGGACATGGACAAGGTGACAAGCCTTTTGTGTGGCAAACCCCATACTTTAGAATTCTCCATTCTAGAGGTCCATAAAGCTACTTCTATCATGGATGTTATATAAATTTTAAAGACAGTTTCATTTCACTGGACCTTCAATCCTAACCTTAATTGACATACATTTTGGGGAGGGTTAATTTATTAGTACTATTGTTCTTTATAATTTTGATTTATTTCTTCTATTGCTTTTGTAATCTGACATGCTGTGAACTAAATATGTAAACATTCAACCTTTGACTTGAGTGAGCATTAAATAAGCACATATATACAATATAATATTTTGATTTCTTCAGTTGCCTAAAAATTTATCTTGGGTTACTATTTATTTACTGGTCATTATTGTTTACTGTCCAACATAGGATTTGGTAGAATTTTAATATATCAAAAAGTTCAGAATAATTGTGTTTTTACTCAAACAAAACGGAAATTCAATAGCTGAGTCGACTTTCCATTTTTATGATATTTTAATACCCACCAACCAGAGCTAGTTACCAAAAATAATATTACAGAACAGAAGCTTTGAGCACATTTGGAGCACTGAAGTTTATTTTCATCTCACAATAATTTTACATAAAAACCAGGTTTTTGTCATTTCAGAAGATAAACTACACTATTTTTGTTCTATTGTACAGAGTCTAATGAAACTGTACAGAGTTTCATGTTGTCTTAAAAGAAATAATTTACTGTTGCATTAGGTTACTAAACTGAGTAAGATCATATTCCAGTGGTGGCAAACCTATGGCACGAGTGCCAGAGACGGCACTCGGAGCCCTCTCTCTGGGCACACATGCCGTCGCCCCAGCCTTACCTCCCCCCATGGCCCCCTCCTCACCAGCAGCCCCCCCAGAGGAGAGTCGCCCCGGGTGCAGCCCGCACAGAGCAGCGCAGCCAAGCACATGGCAGCTGGGCAGCGGGGACAAGACTCCAGCCTCGCGCCCCGTTGCGCGCAGATGATGCTGCAGAGCGTGGGCGGAGGGCATGGCTACCATGGCGCTGCAGGGCCACATGGGCGATCTGCAGCGGGCCGTGGAGGCAGTGGGTGGCCCTGCGGGCAGTGTGGGGGTGGAGCAGTGTGGGCATGGAGTGGGGGCGGGGTGGGGTGGGTTTTCGGCACTCGGTCTCTAAAAGGTTCGCCATCACTGTCATATTCTATCAGCACAATATAATAGCAGCAAACCACAACTTTTAAAAAATGCTCTTACTTTTTGATGCTCAGACATGGTTTGACTTTGAAATGCTTCTAGGTAATCACATCGAATACAGCCTTCACGGGATTCACATATCTTGGTTGCCTTCAAGTATTGTATACTGGCTGCAAGAAAATTGTTTTGTCAAAGAATTCTAGTTTGATTTCAAGATGTTATCAGTAATAGTGCTATTCCAACTATTACAGGTCTCCCAAAGACAAACAATGACAGATTTGTGTTTACTTTACTACTTTGAGTCAACTCTGCATTCTAGCTTGTGTATCTATCTTTATGGTATCCAATACTGAAATATATATTTGTTCTCTTACTGCTGGATTTTAGAAGTAATCAAAGTGTTTTGCATATCCAAATCAGACAGGAATCAGAAAACAGAAAGGAATAATAGCAAAGGAAAACTGTTTTAATCCTCCCACCCCCAATTTTCATGTTAAAAACATGAAAAAGCAAAGACTGTCCGAGACAATCATATAACTTTATATAACCACCTTGCAGGCTTCTCATGGGTACCCCAAGGTTTTTTGGAAAACACACTTTAAGGGCTTTCTGGAAGGCTACCAGGGATGGGGACAACCTCACCTCGGGGGAGTGATGTTCTAGAGTAGGGGTCCCTAACACCCAGTCCGTGGACCAATACCGGGCCGGGCATGCCAGCAATCGGTCCACACAAACAAGCAAAGCCCCATCTGCGGTGTGCAGGCAGCACTCAAAACCACACCCCCTCCAGTCCGCGGAAAAACCTCTCTCCACGGAACTGGTCCCTGGTGCCCAAAAGGTTGGGGACCTCTGTTCTAGAGGGCAAAGCTGCAGCAGAGAAGGCACATCTTCTGGGTCCCACCAGATAGAATTCCTTAGCAGGCATGACCCACAGCATACACCTCTTGCTGGACTGAAGGGATAAATAGACATAATTGGGAAAAGGCATTTCTTCAAGAAACCTGATCACATACAATGTAGGGCTTTATATGTCAAAATCAGCACCTTGAATTGCACCCAGAAGCAGACAGGAAACAATTGCTGCTCATGGAGCAAATGTATAATGTGTGCCATCCTAGGGGCACACATAACTGTGAGTACAGCCACACTATTCATCAACTGAAACTCCCAAATGCTCTTCAAAGGACAGCCACATGCAGAGCATGTTACAACAATCCACTCTGGAGGTGACCAGGGTATAACTGTGAGTAGTCTCATGATCCAGGAAAGCGTGCAACTAGCACACAAAATGAAGTTGTACAAAGGTTCTCCCAACCATAACTGCCACCTAATCCTTGAACAGGAATTGTGAATTTAGAAGGACCTCTAGATTGTCCACCAGGTCTGTATAGGGTGGTGCCACCTTATCCACTACCAAGATGGTAAAGTCCCAGATCCATCCAAAGCCCACAGCCTTCAGGCACCAAAAAAAAATCACAACATTGTTTACTTCCCTTTAAAATCAGAGCAGAAAGGGCATATTATAAGAGATCACTGCAGTATTCATTATATATCAAAGTATTTGTTTTATTTAATACAAAATATTTATGGGCCTATTACTTAAAAATGAAATTTACCGTCTTCATTAAGGATCCAACTTATGTTAAATTTGCATATTCCTTGTATTTCAACAATCTTGATGCTGATATTAAAAAGATCTGCTGGTGTGAATCTATGTTCTTGTTCCAACTCAGGATGAGGCCCTTGCAAAGAATGAAAGTGAGGAGTTAATACATTTGCAGCGAAAACCTCCAGTTTATTAGGTTAGCTCAACTAGCCTGCAAGGTCTTGAAGCTCTGGATGCTTTGTACTCCTCCTTCTCTGAATACTACCATTCATTCCCAGAAAAATCCACGCTGGTGGGCACGTCATCTGGAGTTCCTGCTGCCTCGGCCACCCTTCTAGAAAGGGTACAGAAATGCCAATAGCCACAGAATCTATAGGAGCTGGATTGGAAAGTTTGCCACTAAGAGTCCAGCTGCAGTATGACTCTTTTTTGACTATCCTACACCTTCCTCCAAGCGAGACATTTAGAATTAAAGATCTCTTGATAGACTTTGGCAGCCATTTTACTTCATACCTTTCTTGAAGGAGAAAATGTAAGAAGAATCAAAATCACACAAAAATGCTTGTGTACTAATTTAACCTGCAGAAACATAGCCTGCTGTCATCATTAAAATTCCATACACTAAACAATTTGAAATGTAATTCTCAAGACCATTTGCTTATTGTATTCTCTGTCTCAAGTTCTTATGATGGCTAAAACTGTCATCAGAATACGTGATGATTCAGAAAATGAACAGGAATGGGATGACATTAATTTTTTCAAAGTGCAAAATATTTACACTGAAATTTAATTGTTTTTCCATCAGATGTTGGAAGTGTGATCTTGGAATCCTGGAATACATAAAAGGTTCATGCAAAATCCAAAGCCATCCTTCCTATGCATCATTTTATATATCTGCTGCATTTCAACAATACCTTTTAGGAAGTATAAGCCATGCCATTCCTTTCCAATCCCTTGTGTTTTCTTTATTCACTTTTTCTGCTACTTATTCACAATTTGAAATATTAATAGAAATACTATCACAGTATAATGTTAAAAAGAATTCATGGTCTGAAGTCTACTCATTATACCTCCCTTGAGAAAGTCACTAGTATTTATTTACAGACTAACCAACAGCATTGCATTCTTTAAGTATTATTGATTTAGTTTGCTTTATGCAAAAGCATTGGAATGGAGAAGGTTAACCATTATCTTTAGGAATGACAAACTGGTCAGATATTATTCAACTCAGTGGAATCTAAAGGAGGGTTCTTCACACAAGAGGCTTTACAACAGACTTAAGGCTGGAGACTTCAGTTCTTTCCTCCTTCTGTGACGCACTGATTGCCATCTGTGGCCTCTGTGGCCTAATCAGTCAAGGAAAGGCAAAAGTTAAGCAGGCATATGATGAGTGTACTTGTTTAGACGCACATTGATTAAAAAGACCACAAGGACTTCATATATTGATTGTATCTTAAACCACCTACAATGGAAATGGGGTGCATGAATGTCCAATACTTGCAACAGAATTTTAACAATTTTTAACCCTTAAAAACACATCTTATTTATACATACCATCTTCTTTATAGCATTTGATAGGCTGTAACGAAAAAGAAAACCAGGGTTAAAAGAAAAGAAAATGTAATAGTTACTTTCTAGAAAAATTGTAAGCTGTCCAGAGTCATTGAGATGGGCAGCTATAGAAATCAATGAATGAATGAATGAGCCAGCTTTAGAGTATTAAAAAGATTTGGAAATGCTGACATCATTGTGTTTGTATTCCACCTGTCCTCTAAGGTGTTCATTGCTGGGTAAATGGGTTCATTCCTCTTTCACCTTCATCATTTTTCAATCCTAAAAAAAAAACAACTACTGGCAAAATGGATGTTAACCAGTCAGCTAAGTATGGTCTCAAACTAATGGGTTAAGAAGTTAATCTACAGTTAGCTATAGATATGGCATATATATATATAATCTCCAGCAAGAGTACTGTTTTCAGCTGAATGTTGAGCTTTAAAAAATTTTGTACCATATGTATTTGAACCCAGAAATTATTTGCTTTTTTCCAAGTCCATCAAGAAAGCATCTCATCCCCAATCTCTGATCATTTCTACTCAAAAACAGTTCCTAATTTCAGAATTAAGTCTTTCAAAAGTTTATTTGCACCGGGCTGTGGCTAATTAATTCTTGGCTTTTTTTTTTAAGTAGTTTCCCAGTTCTATGATAATAGAACCGTTGCTGATATTTCAACCGACACAAATTGGATAAGCCGTACTTTGTAGAACCACCTTCGCCTTCCGCCACTAAAGGGGTTTCTCCCAAAGCCCTGAGTGGCAACTAAATATCTCCAAAGCAGAGGAAGGGGGGGGGGGGGCGTTTAAAAGCTACCTTTCCCGGGCAGACGTTCAAGCGCCTGAACTTTCTTCAAAGCCTCCCGAATTTCTGCCCGCTACCCAGCAGGCGAGGGGCAAGGCTCGAAGCCAACGCAGGGAAGAAAAGACGCCAAGCACTTTGGGCATCGCTTACCAACTGGGCTTCTCCCTGGAAGCTCTTCCCGCTCAGCATCCAGCCCAGCATCGCCCACGCCGCAGCATTCATCCCGGCCGGCTCTTCCAGGAGCTGCCTCTTAGCTTGCTCGCTCTTCTCGCTTAGCCTCTTTGAGGCAGACTGAGCCAAGCCTCCTAAGCTCCCCCCCAGCCACGTTTATATCTTTCCTCCGCCCCGCGCCTCACCGCAACCTATACCGTAGCTCCGCCAGGAGCTCGCTGCTCAGAGGGAGCCCTGCCAACTTGGGTTATAAGACGAAGAGATAAGAATCCGGTCGCACGCTGCCTTTCGAAACCGAGAAGCCGGAATGTGCAGACTGCCACACTAGGCGATTCTTGGTTGTGGAGATGTGTGGACTCCAAGTCTCATGTGTGGGCTTCAACTCTCAGAATGCTGCCCGGAGAATTCTAGGAGCTGAAGTCCGCCCGTTTGTCAAGTTGCCAAGGTTGGGAAACACCGTGCCAGAATTTACAGGCAGTGTTTCTCAACCTTGACAATTTTAAGGCATGTGGACTTCAACTCCCAGAATTCCACAGCCAGTTGAAGTCCACATGCCTTAAAATTGTCAAGGTTGAGAAACACGGCGAATCAGTTGTGCCTTGGATGCTGGTAGAGCAGCATGTCTTTAACCTCCGCCCTCTTAATTTTCAGAGGGTGTGAAGGGAGTCCTGGGATAACTTAAATAACACGGTCAAAATTACTAGCATACATTGACTGTATTATTTAGTCTTTGGCTGGAAGGCAGAAATTTAGGGTGAGGGAGCAGAGCTCAGAAGAAGCAAGGTAGCTGCCAATAGTGCTTACTGTATTTTTTCCTTTATTGCTGTATTGTTGTTATTATGAACAATAGTCTTTTATACCATTCTTTCACGATCTTTAATTAGTATCTTTTTTTGATATGCTGTGTGGTATCATATAGACACAGATATTCTTGACAGTGAGTTTTTGCTACAGTATCCCTGGTGCACAGCCAATACACTAAATATGTGCTTATATGCATCGCTATTGTTTCAGCTGTAGACTAGGGCTACGTGACAGCTCAACTTCAAAACATTATTCACTTAGCCACTTGCTTCCTCTCATCCTAACTTACTTTATCAGGTTGTAAAGAAATTCAAAATTGGAGTCATTTATGCAACTTTTAGTATGGAAAACTAAACGAATTCTGTAAAATTCTTAATATTACACATGTTGCTCAAAGACCGTGATATTGCGTTTATATTCCAATAAAGAAGATGACAAAAAGATGTATTTGCATCTGATGAAGTACAGCCAATCCCAAAGGTTATAACATAACAAATCTCTTCATCTCCACATTGTCACTATATGTCTTTTTAAGCAATGTCAAATAAAATGGCGGTACCTCCTTGAATGTTGTAAAATGCAAATTGATTTTAAGTATTTTATCTCATTTATGAATGAATTGCTTGATATAAAACTCAAATAAGAAGTATCTTATCATTTTCTGTTCATATAATACCAGCTTTCTGTTCCATCAGATATGAATACTACATGGATACTATTGAAAAAAAATGCATACAATATCATTGAGGCTTTTGATCCATATATTTAGGGGAAAAGGTGGCAATTGAATAAATCAATTAACCAGAACCTTTGTAAAAGATTGATGGAATATCTATTTTGAACTTGTGTACCCATTTTAGTCAAATATGCATATGACAAAATGCCAGACTGTTTCTTTATGTATCCAATAATAGCAATCCAAGGTTCATACAAAACTCTCATTTTGACCCCTTAATTTTTACATGCAGTATATTACTGATCAAACCTTGACTGATTGGACTATGCTATACAGATATATACTCTGTGTATATATATAAATATATTCTGTGATTGGGAATCTGGCAGCATACAAGTTTAATTAATAAATATTGTTCAGTTATAATCTTTCCCCATAAAGTAAGCTCGGAAATATATAATCCTTCAGATTTACATACATGGAAACTTAGTTTTGAGACTTCAGAAAAACTCAGTCAGGTAAAGTCCCTCTACCTTCCCAGAAATATAAGTCTTAATAATAATAATAATAATAATAATAATAATAATAATAATAATAATAATAATAATAATAATAAATAATAGTAAAGTTGGAAGGGACCTTGGAGGTCATCTAGTCCAACCCCCTGCTCAGGCAGGAAACCCTATACCATTTGGGACAAATGGCTGTCCAGTCTCTTCTTAAAAACTTCCAGTGTTGGAGCATTCACTGCTTCTGGAGGCAGGTTGTTCCACTGGTTAATTGTTCTCACTGTCAGGAAGTTTCTCCTTAGTTCTAGGTTGCTTCTCTCCTTGATTAGTTTCCACCCGTTGCTTCTTGTCCTGCCTTCAGGCGCTTTGTTTAGTTTAATGCTAAACAATCAAATGTGGTCTACTTTTTCTGAGCAAAGATTCAGATACTAAAGGTTAGGGTAAAGTCAGAATTAAATTAGGGATACATTATAATTTCAGGTGGCTTTGATGCATAGAAATGCATCCTTCAGATGAACATGGCCATTTTCATAATATGAAAACATTTGTAATAATTCTCCAGAACAGAAGTCATATTGTAAATCTATTTTTGTCACATTTCAGGATATGGTTTAGACTCAGAATTTACCTATCTGAATGTTCCTCTCTGTAAAATGTATGTTTGCATAGGAAAAACGAATTGTATTTGATTATGCAAATGAAAAGGACTGTAGTAACACAATATCTCTAACATATAATTTTCTAAATGTATGGCTGGGATGCAGAGGATGTGAGAGAAAAGCAGTCACTGCTAAGGAGCTAAGTTCCTATTCTTATCTCCTATTTTATAGAAGACAGATACCCTAATAGTAATTACACTTTGTGTAATTTACAAAACTAGCTTAAGTCAAAAATAAAAGAATATTTAACATCTGTTTGAATACAAAGATAAGCTACATTTCATTTTTCTCAGTTTAGTTCTGGTAGCAACTGCAGGCTTTCTAGCTGGTAGAAGTAGCAGGGTATTTCTCAAGTTGATGAATACTGTACAGGTAGTCCTAGACCAGGGGTATCAAACTCGCCATGTCACATGATGTGTCGCTGGGGTGGGGTGGGCGCAGTTTTGGCATGATGCATCCGGCCCACGGGCTGGCAGTTTAACACCCCTGTCCTAGACTAACAACTGTAATTGACCTGGAATTACAGCCATAAGTCCTTGCACTCATTAGCTGAGGCATTACCAGATGACACACAATTTTTTGACATTTGTTATGGCTGTTGTAAAGCAAATCGATTTTCCCCAATCGGTATTTTTGCAAGAAACTGAAAGTAAATACTGGAAACTGGCAAAAAAAAAAAGTTGCAAATCATGGTCACATGATTGTAAGGTGCTGCAAACAGTTGTAAAAGTGAGCCAGTTGCCTAGTGCCCAAAATGCAGTCACATAATGAGGGGGCAGCCATTGTAACTTTGAAAATGGGTTTGGGGGAGATCCATCATAACTTCAAAGAGACACTAAGTAACCAGTCAGAAATTGAGGACTACCTGTATATTTTTCATCTCACATTTTGGGAATGCTTGTTTTGCTGTTCATTCAGCTAATAACTGTGTGATATATGCTGTGGCAGAGACAGGGAAACTCTGCCTCTCCAGATATTGTTGAACCAGAACTGCTGATACCCATCATTGCCCATACTAGCTATAACTGAGTAATATTTGAAGAGCCAAATTCCCAAATTCAGTATTTCTAATAACAAAAATGTGCAACCTTTTACCTATATTTGGACACTTCAGGTTGGCTAGGTTGCCAAGACTTGAACTGGATGTCTAAATAATGCCTCTTTCCCCATTAAAAGAATGAAGTCAAATTCACAGCCCATCGGAACATGCAGCCTTCCATGTCATTTGGGATGGTTCATATTTCACTGACACAAAGCAGGAAAAAGACAGCAGAGGGGGCTCAGTAGCTTGCTGAATATGTCATAAAACTTTCTGGGCCATAGCCAATCCCTTTCCTGCCCCATACCATCTGTTCTGGCTTGCCACTAAATGATGGAATCCTGCTTTTGAGTATGTTGTAGAGCAGGGGTAGTCAACCTTGGCTCTTTTATGACTCGTGGACTTCAACTCCCAGAATTCCTGAGCCAGCTAAGCTGGCTCAGGAATTCTGGGAGTTGAAGTCCACGAGTCATAAAAGAGCCAAGGTTGACTACCCCTGTTGTAGAGGATTGAACCCTCTGTATTAGTTAAACCCACTGGTTCTACAGTCCACCCCTTTCTGAACATCACAAGTTAGTGGGACACCTGGAATTTGCAGATGATTTTGTTAGATGGCTGACATGTAAATTTAGCCATCTTTCAAAAATACTCCATTTCCAAGTTTGTTATCTCAAAAACTGTGGTTGCTCCCTCAGTTGCTATGTTTGATAGGCTGTAGCTTTTCTATCTCACCTGAGAAGGGGAAAGAAGGAAGGTGTAAGCAGGGAAAGCCCAGGGTCTTAGGGAATAGGAGTGGTCAATAGGTGCCATACTGTCCTTCTTCTTCTCCAATCACCTAACTTAAACTGGCGGCCCGTGGGCTGGATGCGTCATGCGCAGGCCACATCCACCCCGGCTCCACAAAGGTAAAAAACATTGTGATAGGTCACGATATGTCATGCGACATGATTGAGTTTGACACCCGTGACCTAACTACATAATCAATAAAACAGTCAGCAAAATGCTTACCTTGTTCTTGCTGTTGGTTGCTGCTGGCATAAGTGGGAAAACACTATCTTAAAACTTAAGACAGGTATAGATGACTTAAGCCTGGCTCACTCAGGGGTGGTACACTGCAGAAGAAGTAAGTTGCCAGGGTACATTTGTACTGTGATTAGATAATAAGTTGGCTTTTTGATAAGATACAGCAAGAAATTCATTTCCATTATATATTGTCTTAAGCTTTTATTATATTCCCAATTATCAGTTTTATACGTGCACCGATTAAGGCTAAACTTTACTCGCTAAACATTTTAAAAAGTATCCTTTTGTGTAGTTAGATGGGGGAGGGAACTTTGAAGTAGGGAAGGGGTCAGTGTTCTTCCACATCAGGACAGATAAGAGATGTAAGTT